TTGGAGCTCAAAGATGTCACCATGGCCCTGGCCGGTTTGGGTCAGTGGTTGGAGCATCAGCCTGAGGACCAGAGAGTCCCGGGTTCAGTTCCCGCTAGGGACACGTACAGAAAAAAATAAATAAATAAACAATAAATAAATAAAGTTAACAAAGATGTCACCATGCCTTGGCCTCTCTCCTTCCAGCCCTAAGATTTTTTTTCCTCTGAATTGAATTCTTTCTCAAAGAAGGCTCCAGATGCTTCAGGTTCTTCGTGCTTCCATCTCAGAGAAAATGCAGTCAGTCCTCTTTGCTGAGGGGTCCAGTAAGAGCTCCAGGGAGGGCTTGGGTCATGTGACCATTCAGCTTGGGGTCAGAGGGCTGTGGTGCCGATTGACCTGGTGTAACTCACTGCCCTCCCCTTGGATTGGAGCGGAACCCACAAAAGTGGGTTTGCCACAGCCAGAGAGGTGGAGCAGGCTAGGACTTGGGCCTGTGTTGGTGCCTGAGACTCCACTGGGAGCTCCCAGGTTGGGGATGGGGTGCGGGTAGGGGGATGTCCCAATGTGCAAATAGACACAAGCCTGATTAGAGGGACAGGTGGGGACTGTGCATAGGAGGGGTAGGGAGGCTGGAGAGGGCTTCAAGGAAGGGGAGGCAGGTACTTTGGATCTAGATGGGTGATAGGCATTTACCTGGCACAGTTGTGCCGGTAGGAGTCACCACTATGGCACACATGTCATGCCAGACCCTGGACCCCAGTTCTGCTTCTGGGATGTGGCCTTTCAGGGACTAGCCTAGATCTGTCTGACATGCATCACTCAGGAAGGTATCCTCTTCAGTCGTTCTTTCTGTCCTCCCTGCTACGAGTTGACTCCAAGTTTCAGAAGCTCAGAGCTCACGTTGCCATGCCAACCCCTCCCTGGCAGGCATCCAGACAGAAATGGGCTGGCCCCATCTCAGGGCTGCCAGCTGATGTGAGCATGTTCTGGTAATTGGATTGGAGCAATCCTCTCTGCCTTTCCTGTGGAAACCTGGGGGTTGGCCCAGCTCCTACTAGACATTAGACTGTGGACACAAAGAGGGTGGGAGGAGGTCACTCTGCTCCGGGACTGGATAGAAGGTTCAGCATGAGGATCAGATGGAAGGGCCATGAAGGAGGGACAGGCCCCATCCTAGCCTCACATGCGGAAACTTGTGACCCTCCTCAACTTCCGAGTAGTTCCCCAAGGCTCAGAGATCCCAACAGATGATGAGGGCTTACTCAGGGGCCAGGGCTTGCCTCCGCCAGCAGAACTGAGGCTCTGCTCACTTTCCCACTGTAGAAGCAGCTCAAATTCAAGTCAGCACCCACTTAGGACCTTGCAGCCTCTGTGCAGCACGCCTTCCAGGCCCATTCCCCGGGGAGGTGGGAAAAGGAATGGCTGTCTTGGTGCCAGTGTCATTTGGCATCCAGTAATAGAGGTCCTGTTCATGGCAGCTTGCCCACAAAGGCTCTTGGGCACCCAACCTCCCCTCCATCTTGGGACCTGGCCAGGCCCCATTCCTGAGGATGCCCTCCCCAGGGATTGGCAAAGCAGCTGGCCCTGGAGCCCTCGAGACAGTGTATAGAGGGAGGGGCACTGGCCTCTGAAAAGTCCAAAACCCCCCTTCCCATGCTGTGGTGGTTGCAGGCCACAGATTAGCAACCAGGTATCTCAGTGTTGACAGGTCATTGCAGGTTATCAGTAACCCACAGGAACAACTGCAGTGTGTGGCTGGGCCTGTGACCTCCCGGGCCCTGGCCAGGACCTGACCAAGCACTTCCTCTGCCTTCTAGATGTAGGGTCGTCTGGGCTCCCAACCCTCCCTGAACCAGTTCTCCTTCCACCGGGGTCAACCTACAATTTACGGTGCTCTCCACTTCCTCTGTCCATCCTGGCTCTTTAGCCCAGTCTCCTTGTCACAATCAGGCCCAGTCAGTCTTCACTGCAGGGAGAGGAACAAGTCAGTGAAGGTCAGGGGTTCCAACCTAAACAGAGTGAGCAGCATCTCTCAGGACCTGAAGACCCTTTGGGTCAGTCAGGGACCTGGGAGCTCAGCTGGCAGGCTCAGGCTGCCCCCAGAACAGTGCACAGACCAGTTTGTACCACCTTCAAACTCCATGGAATTCATGGGCCAGGAGAGCAAACAGGGCATGTAGGGGCCAACCTCAGGGGAGGAGAGTTCAAGGAGGTCCTACAAGGAGTAGGGGGTAGGGAAGGAAACAGGACCAGCCATCTTAGTTTTCTGTCCAGCTTTCAACCTCACAATAGCATGATAGCTCTGAGAGATAGGGATTGCCACTCCCATGTCACAGATAACGAGACAGAGGCTCAGCAAGCCTGACTCCAGTGCCAGGATTTCATTCGGGTCAGCCTGAGCCCAGAGCCCAAGTTGAGCGTGGTACAATGGGGCAGGGGTGAAGGGTGAGTCTGGGGTCTCCGCTTGCAGGACAGAGAGGTTGCCCTCCCTTAGGGCACTGTGTAGCCCCCCACACTGACCCCAGGGCTCAGGAATGACCATGAGGATCTGAGGTCATCTGAGACTCCAGCCCAGCTCTGGAGACCATGGTGTTGGGGCCGAGGGCATCCTGAGCAACCCTGGAAGCCACACACACCAGGATTCACAAGGGATAAACCTTGGAGTAATTGTCAGTTTTAAAATAGGAACCTGAAAGAACAGCCCAGCCTGTGGGGGTGAGCTTACAGCTCAGCATACATGGCCTTCGAGGGACCTGTCAACCCCATCAGATATCCATGGTGGACTGTGCCGGCAAAGGTGCCTGCCCCAGGACAGGGAAGCAAAGAACCAATGAGTGGAGGAGAAGAAGGCATTCTTCCAGAGAAAGAGCCTAGGCTGAGCCACCCACAATGTCTCACCCAGCCAAGTGGTCCTGTCAAGAGAAAGGGCCCAGACAAGGGGTGGAGGCTGGGCACCTGTGTGCCCCCATCCTGCCTTGCCACCCCTGCGAGGACTCCGGAGTTCACTGAGAAGTTACCAGCCTCCAGTATTTAATTCTCGCTCTCCTCTTTCATGGGGAAAGTGTAGATCAGACTAATTAATGTGCTGTTGTTTGTTTACCCTCCTTTCATTTCACTGAGACAAAATAATTAACCACAGAGCTTTACAATCAGCTCCATTGGTGGCAGTCCCTTCTGTCAACTGCGTCAGCAGCTCCTGGGCGTATGTGCAGGGACTGTAGGCGGGAGCAGGGCAGGTGGGCAGCACCTGGAGGCTCCTTCTGTCCAGGGCATTGCTGAAGGGTGGCAGGGGGACCCAGGGCAGCCACAAAGGGTTAGGATGGCAGGCAGGAGGGGCTGGGATGCTCGGATCTGCCACTTCTTAGAGGACTGCCATCGTGGCTCCTGCTGCCTGTTGGCCCTCTGGGCCACCTAAACACAGTGATACCTGAATAGGGACCACAAACATTCCTATGGCCCGTCCGGCCTGGCCGCTCACTGCCACTGCAGGCAGGGCTGGGGAGGGAACTTGCCCAGAAGGGTTTCTAGGGCCATAGCAGGAGTGAGGACACAGGACAGCCTAATGAGGAGACCCTCTCCCAGTCCTCTCCCAGCTAATATCAAATACCAACCCTGATTGGCCAGTGTTAGGGCCGAGCCACACGGAAGAACAGAAGGTTAGTACTTTCTCTCAGGAAGCTTTTTAGAAGCGAGGCTACATTTACCTCTGACCCATCAGAGCTCTGACCATCCTGAGGGCCACAGGCCAATTCTGCTTGGAGGGCAGCATGATATAGACAGAACAGACCCTCTCCTCCTCCCAAACCCTTTCTTCAGAACTGTCTTCACAGCCAGGGCTCAGCCAAACCCGAGTCCTAACACAATGTGAAGTGACCCTTGGGGTGGACAAGCCCGCCTATGCCACCTTTCCAGCCAGGAGAGATGGCAACATGGTCAAACCCCCCTCCACCCCTACCCCAATGGAGCAGAGCAGAAGTTGGTCTCGGTCAGTGAGACAGTGAGCAGGAAATGACTCCCCACCTGATCTGGGGTGAAAACTCGGAATTACACTTCTGCAAGCTTCACCACAGCGTGACCACTATGGGTCCCTGGAGGCTGAGTAAACACTCCACATTCTTGTTTTTATAAATTCTACAGTCAGCACAATAAATGCACCTGGTGGTCTCTCCTGGGCGGAGCTCTGGGGCCTGCTCTGAGAGGAGGATCAGGGTGGACTTACTGCAGAAGCTTTGGGCGTTTTGGGCCCTGAAGCTGCATCCTGGGAGCTTAGGGGAGACGTTTGGGCCAGACCCTCAAAGCCCTAGGGAGCCTCTCTAAAAGTTGCAGGGACCATCAGCATCCCTTGTAACTGGGCAACTATGATCGTTCTGGATGTTAGTAAGGTCCAGGCTATGCCTAGATCCCCATCAGGTCGGGATTTTTGCTGGAGATCAGTGGTCTGATGCTGCAGGCTGGGTAGTGAGAGCCTGGCTGTCGGGGAGCTTTCTCTCAGGGGTCCCGCCAGCCACTCTGCCCTCCACCCTAGGACTCTCTGGCTGCTTTTCTCCCTGGTTTGTTCCCTCTTCATTCTGACTTGATGGACACTCAAGGATAGGCAGCTGTGTCTGAGGCTCCTCAGGCTCACCTCAGGCTCCTGATGAGATTCCAGCTGCTCTGGGCCCAGTGTCAGGCCCAGGCATCCCTTAGATCCCCAATCTGCCTCCTCGGCACCCACAAAGCCGTGCTCCTCTGAAATCCTGGGCCAGATTTCAAGCAATTAGGTTATGAGATCAAAACGGTCAGCTAGAGGCAGTCATGTCACCAAGCTGTTTACTCCAAAAGAACTTAACACACACAGGCCAACGAAGTGTGCTGGGACTGGCTCCTGGCCCCAGACACCCCGTGTGAGCCTACTAGCTCCTGTCTGGTCCTTGACACAGTCCTTCTCATGTCAGAGTAGGAACGGGGTAGATAACAGCCACAGCATACAATCTGCTCCCCTAAAAATAAATAAAAGCTCCCATATCTCTGTCTTGCAGGCTCTCCAACAGGCCTCGGTGGCCTAGCATGGCCCACTGAGGTCAACCATGACTGTCTGGCCAATATATGCCATCAACCATCTCACCAGGAGGTGACCCCTCCTCCAGCTTCTCCCCACTCACCCACCCCACCCAGGAACGTGCCCGCACTGCCACGGACACCATGTAGTAGGGCCGGCTGCGGCACCCAGTGAGCTGCGATGGTTTTGTACACGACCCCCTTTCCCAATAGCTGTCTGTCTGCCCTGCACACTGTGTCCTGGGCCCTCATCTTCCCATGCTACTGGCTGCTGGACCGGCTCCTGGCCTTGTTCATACCTGTCCCCTGTCAGAAGAACCAGCTACTCTGCATCGTGCTCTTCATGCCCATCTACCTGGGCCTCCTGGTCACCTCTCTGCCCTTTGCGTTCCTTGGGTTCCTCTTCTGGTCCCCCCTGCAGTGTGCCCGCAGGCCCTACATCTACTCTTGGCTGGAAGACAAGGGCCCAGCTGGTGGGGCAGCCCTGCTCAGGGAATGGAAGGGTACAGGCCCTGGCAAAAGCTTCTGCTTCGCCACTGCCAACGTCTGCCTCCTCCCTGACTCATTGGCCAGGCACAACAACGTTTTTAACACCCAAGCACGGGCCAAAGAGATCGGGCACAGAATCCGCAATGGGGCCAGCCGGCCCCAGATCAAAATCTACATCGATTCGCCCACCAACACCTCCATCAGTGCGGCCAGCTTCAGCAGCCTGGTGTCACCGCAGGGTGATGGCATAGCTCGGGCTGTCCCTGGAAGCATTAAGAGGACCGCCTCTGTGGACTACAAGGGCAACAGTGGGCATCACCCTAGTGACGAGGCTGCCAACGGCCTGGCTTCTGGGGATGCAGTCGACTGCAGTAACCTTGAGAACGCCTGCATTGTGCGCATTGGTGGTGATGAGGGGGGCCAGCATCCTGAAGTTGATGACCCTGCCACTGGGGGCCAGACCAGGAATGGGGCTGGTGGGGGCCCTCGGGTCCAGACACCCAACCACAGTCAGCGGGATGGGGACTCAGGGAGCCTGGGCAGCCCCTCTGCTTCCAGGGAGTCCCTGGTGAAGGCACGAGCTGGATTGGACAGTGGCAGTGGGGAGCCAGGTGCCACCTACAGCAAGGCCCCGCTCAAGGCCTCGGCGGTGAAGAAGGCAGCCTCACGCAGGAAGCGGCATCCGGATGAGGTCTTTGACCACGAGATCTCAGCCTTCTTCCCCGCCAACCTGGACTTCCTGTGTCTGCAAGAGGTGTTTGACAAGCGTGCGGCCAGCACATTGAAAAGCCAGCTGCATGGCTATTTTGAGTACATCCTGTATGATGTTGGAGTCTATGGCTGCCAAGGCCACTGCTGCTACAAGTGTTTGAACAGCGGCCTCTTCTTTGCCAGCCGCTACCCCATCATGGATGTGGCCTATCACTGTTATTCCAACGGGAAGGGCTTCGACAGCCTGGCCTCAAAGGGAGCGCTGTTTCTCAAGGTAGGAGGCCTGGGCACAGGCCAGCCATTTCCAGAGCAACGTGGGAGGTGGGCTGCAGTCCGAAGTCCTCACCCTGTGGGAGGTTTATGGGCAGATGAGCCCTATCATGGAGCTGAACCAGAGGGCCCCCAACTCAGAGTCAAAGGAAATAAGAATGCAGGGACAAGAGCCGAGGCTCCAATATCAAAAAGACCTGGCTGGGTGATCTTGGACAAGTTCCTCAGATCTCTGAGCCACCATTTCCCCATCTGTAAATTGGGGGCAATGTGGAGCCTGCTCACAGCATGGGGAGTGAGTGGTAAGGCCTAGGAGGTTCTCCTGGTGTTGGTGGTAAAGGTGGCCAGGCAATGATGGCATGGGGAGTATGGGGGACGGAGGATACCGCGGTCTCTAATAAAGCAGACATTCACAAGACAAGACCAACAAAAACCAAGAGTTGCAGGTCCTGGACCCATTACCACACCAGCCTCATAGGCCGGGACACCCTCTCCCTTCTGGCTGTCATGCAGCTGCCATGCCAGGCTCTGTGCCCACCAGCCCAAGGCTTTGCTTCCACAGTCACTAATTAAAGTGAATCATAATTATTTCTGCTAATTTGGATGCAACTGGAGGAGTTTTTAAACCATGGTAATTTGGTCATTATGCATTATCTTCTACTGAGCCTGACACTCTCAGAGTGTTGACTTCTTGTTCTTTATCCAAAAGCCACTCTTGGTGCTTCCAGAGTTTCTGAAGCATTGTTTGGCCAGCTGATACAGAACAGGGCTTTCTGGCCCCAGAGGCAGCAGTTACTATGGATATGGGTTCTGTCCATATTTCCCTCAAGACTTCTCACTTCCCCCTAAAAGGGCGTCCATAGGACAGGCAGGGGTACCTAGTATGGCTGATGTGGAAGTCCAGTGTGGGGAGGCTCTTGTGCCCCAGGCCACAGCTCTGACTGCTCCGCCTGTCCAGGAAGGTGCTATGTGTCAGCCAAGCACCTGCCGGAAGAGAGGACCCGGGTTGCCTGTCTGCATGAAGACTGCTGGAGCCAGACCAGCATCCCCAGGCCCAGGCCTCCACTCCAGGTGCTCAGTGGCTCTTGTGTGGCTCAGCAGGCCCAGAGTTGGAGTCCTCAGCTCTCCACTCACAGCCTGTGATGCTGAAATTAAGTGCACTGCTCTTACAGGAGTACCAACCTTCCATTTTGGCATATGGTTCATCAATGTTCTGTTCCATGGATGTATTTTCATCTCAGTGAATTTCTGGGGAAGGAGAGGACATGTAGTCAGGCTAAGTAAGAGGGAGAGCATACCCCCTCTCCCACCTGCCCTACTACAGATGGCTGGGAAATCCCTCAGTCCTGCCCCCAGCCCACACACCCCATCATCTCCCTCCTTAGTCTGGCACCTCAACCACCATGCCCACCAGGGCCACACAGGGTCCTCAGGACAGCCCCTCCACCATAAGCTTTCGTCCCACCTCTCTGCCCATCCCTTCTAGGCTCCTTCTTACCTGCCCATCCACTAAATGTCATTGCTCCCTCTATCTCCTGGGTCGAAAACTGTTCTCCAGATATCTTTAATTTGGTTCATACCATTAAAATATTTCTTGTCTTGGCTAACCTTTAAAAATTAAAATATTTGCCCTGGCCGGTTTGGCTCAGCGGTTAGAGCGTCGGCCTGCGGTCTGGAGAGACCCGGGTTCGGTTCCCGCTAAGGGCACGTACTTCGGTTGCAGTTTGTCCCCGGCCCTGGTTGGTCGTGCGGGTGGCAGCCACTCGATGTGTCCCTTCACGTCGATGTTTCTCTGTCTCTCCCTTCCTCTCTCTCCCTCCCATTCTATCTGTACAAAAAATGGAAAAATATATCCTCGGGTGAGGATAAAAAAAAAAAAAAAAAATTAAAATATTTCACATAAAACCCAGTTTATAATTTTTCTCCCAACCTGGGTAGATCTGGCAGCACCAGGACTATTGCTTCTGCCCAGCTCTCAGCCTGAGCAGCCTCACAGCACAGTGACCACACTTGGCCAGGGCTCTTCATTTCCAAATGATCACCATAGGTGACACACCTGCCTTAGGAAAGCGACTCCACAGCCTCCATTTCCACACTTGCTGAAGGGTCTCAGGTTTGTCTCAGCCCAAGTCTCTTCCCTAAGCCCCCAGCTCTGTGTCTGGTGGCCGCTGGACACAGTCCCATTTATTCCTGAAGGGAACTCATCTATCCTAGTCCCACCCCTTCCCCAGGTTCCACCATCCCTCAGCCAGAAGGGCCCGCCTTGACTCTTCTCTGTGCCCTGAGCCCATCCAATCATCCAGACAACTAATTTCACTTCCCAGGTACATCACGCCCCATGTTTCCAGCTGCACTATCATGGCCACCATTCCTCTATATCCACCCAACTGTTTGTGACTGTCCTCCCCCTTCCAACCTATCCTCCTCCTGTCCCAGGGCTGACTCCTGTTTTACCCACTTCCCACTGCCTCAGGGAGAAGCTCAGCCTTCATTGGGCCTCTACCCTCACCTGAGCTCTGCTCCAACCCAGCTCTCCCTTGTCATGATCCTGCCCCAATTTGGCCTCACCATTTCTGTGGAGCTTCCTCAGCAGCCATCCACACAAACCATCTTCCCCTTCACGGGTTCCTCAGCATTTGCTCCCAGCAGTCTTGTTGCCTGTCCCGCCCATCAGACAGAACCCCTCAGAGTGGAGCCGGTTGTGCCGAGCACACAGCAGACCCAGCTCATCTCTGTTTCCAAGAGTGAGCCTGTTTCTCCTGCGTAGAAAAATGAAACAAATGAGTTTTCAGAAGATAGGCTGGCCCAGGAAAAGGGCCCGGGGCTGGGAAAATGTGGCCCTGGCTGCACTTGGAAGCCAGTGCTCCCTTGGTTGGCAGGGCTCCCTGTCCAACCCTGCCCTCCAGATTGAACCTGTGACACTTCCAATCTTTGAGGAAAATGTGCTTTCCTGCTACCATGAGGGCCTGAGAAAGAAGGAACTGGACTTGCTGCTGCCTTACCAATGAGAGAGCCCAACTCTGGGCCCCTCAGCCTTTGCCCACCAGGATTAAGAGGCACAACCTCTCAGTGTGAGTGTTTGTTTTTGTAAGAGAAACACAAGCCTCTGCAGCTCCTGAGGACTTGAGCCAGAAATCAACAAGTCCCAATACATAATCAAGTGGGTCTCAGGGCGCTCACAGGCTGACTGAGCAGGGGAGTGGGTGAGGAGCTGCGTGAGACTCCTGGTGGAAGGGCTGAGGAAGAAGCTGGATGGCCTTGGCCTCTGTCCCCTCCAGAGAGGTTCTCCTCAGAGATAGAGCTGAGTGGTACCTCTCTGCACCTGTCCTGTCCCTGCCCAAGACTCAGCACAGGCAGATGACACTAAGTGCTGAGGGAGTGAGGGGATGAGGCTCTAAGCAGCTGGTGAAAAGTCTGGCTAAATCATCAGGAGCTGAGAAAGCAGCACAGAGCTTAAGGAGAAACTGGAAGGGGGCTCAGCCATCGGAGCCTTGTGACCCCAGCCAATCGCAGTATAATTTTAGTATAATCCTCACAGATGTAAGGCTCTAGCAAGTCAGCGTCAGTGAAGCACTAAACAGGAATGCTCACAGCAGGAATGTTATGATTGAAGAGGGAACAGAGGCAGTCACTGCCCAAGGAACACAGGGGCAAGAGCGCCATCATGTGGCCTTGTGGGGACATTGTGGCTTTAAAATTGGGTTGTTTTTGCAATAGGGCACATCAGTGGTAGGTGATTTTCAGAAGTGCAGGGAATATTGATTAAGGTTTGGGTCTGGAATACAGGTTAAGAAGTGAATGTTGAACATGTGAGTTTATTAACCCCAAATCCAGGCTATATGGCCCATTATAAAGTAACCAGACATGTATCCCCCCAGGGTGCCAGGAAAGGAGAGATGTGCACTCATCTGGCTGGGAAAGGGAATGAGAAGCTGCAGAAAGCTAAGGGTGTTTGATGACACCAAAGTCCATATGGAGGAGATTAATGCCAACCTGACTTTGACAGCAGAGAGATGGAAGCTTTGGAGGCTCTCAGAGTAGAGGACCTGTGACGTGGCAGCAGTAGTGGCAAGTTCAGACCACTCTTAGCTGGAGGATGGGCAGGGTTGTGCTTGGTAGAGGCCAGGTGCACCCACCCTGCTGCTGATGGACCTGTACACCTGGCCTCTACAGTCACCTTCCTGGGACAGTTTCCAGGGTCCAGGGTCTCGTCATTGTAGAAAACCCAGTTTGGAATGGATTGGTGAACTTTGTGAAAGACAGATGAAACTCAGGTGGGAGGAAAGGCCAGAAAGGAAGATGAATCAACCAGAGGCCTCTGGGCAAAGATGCCCACAGACTGTGCCAGGGAGCATACCTGGGAGGGACTCTCTCATTTTAGCCTTCAGCAGATATGCTGTGTTGAGGGCCTGGGAGAGACAGCAGGCTGGGTGGCTGCCCCTCACCTCTCCCCACAGCCCCTAACAAGGGCTTAGGCTTGCATCAGGGTAACCACTGGGGGTCATTTTGAGTTGTCTGTTTTGTACCATTGAGATGTTTGTTTTCATTACACCAATCTGTGAAGACAACCTGCCAGGGTCATTTTCGGCTGGGCACGGAGTCGTGGCAGGATGCCCGAGCCCTATTCCACTCCTGAGTACTCCATCTCTCGTGAAGGGGGTGAACAGGAAGTGAGGACTGAGGTCTGGGGAGAGTAAAGCATGAAGAAGCCGCTATGAAAGGAATGGATTTGGGACGGAAGCCATGGGGCACCTGGGCCACAGAGACACAGGCCACAACTATTATTCTAGATTGGGGAGGTAAGAGCAGATGCTGTGATTTCTCATGAAGCCAGAGAGGCAGAGACTGGAGAGAGGGAGGAGAAAACAGAATTCAAGGCCTCTGGAGATGGTGTCGAGCTCTGCAGTTGGGCCTAGTCCCCTAGGGAGCCTGATTTAGACTTCAGAAGGATGGGCTGTGGGGTGTGATCAGGTCTGGGGTATGAATAAAGGAAAGAGGAAAGAACCACCAGACAGGAGTGAACAGGAAACTGAGAGGCTGGCACACGCTAGTCATCAGGGGATGGCAGGGGTTTGGGTTAGAAATCTGTGATTATTTCTGCACTTGTCCTCCTATAAAGCCTAATGAATAGCAGGTGACACCATGCTATAGGCTGCCATGTCTTTATGCATCTGCCTCTTGCACTAAACCAGAAGCTTCTGGAAGCAGGACATGTGCTGTTCCTACCTGGGCCCAAGTCTAGCCAGAAGCCAACAGAGCTGGGCTTGTAAGGATCTTTCCTGGTGGTGGTAGTTGTGGTGGTGGGGTGTCATTATGTACCTTTGTGCTCAGAGTACTGAACACTTACAGACTTCCTCAGTGACACCTTGTCTCCTACTCCACAGGTGATGGTGGGAAGCACACCTCAGGACCAAAGAATTGTTGGGTACATCACCTGCACACACCTGCACGCCCCAGAAGGTAGGGTCTGGTGGCCTGCACTCTTTTAGGGGTGGGGGATCTTTCCCTGGCAGGTTGGGATCAGCCAGGTCCTGGTTGGCATCTGGCTGCAGCTTTATCCTCGGGTCTCTGTGGTTCTGCTCCACAGATGACAGTGCTATCCGGTGTGAGCAGCTGGACATGCTTCTGGAGTGGCTGGCTGATTTCCGAAAATCTACCTCCTCGTCCAGCACAGCCAACCCCGAGGAGCTGGTGGCATTTGACATCATCTGTGGAGATTTGAACTTTGACAACTGCTCCTCCGGTGAGGCTGGGTTCTACCCCATTCGGGTTGGCTGCTGGAAGAGGGTGGAGCTTCAGTCACAGCTAGCAACACTTAAGTTAGACAGCTCAGAGAACCTCCTGCTCCTTGTGTGCATGTGGGTGGGATATCAGCAAAACTATGATTTCTCTGCCCCCTAGAAATCCTAAAATGAAACGCGCCCACGCTCTGCCTAGAAAGCTCAGAGGCCTCCTTACTGGAGACAAAAAGATGCCCTAAAACAAACCTGTGAAGGGAAGGCCTGGAGCCTCTGAAATTCAGACTAAGGACGAGTCAGCTAATACCATTTACCAAGTCTTTATTCAGCTCTTGCTTTGCACCAGGCACAACTCTGATGGCTGCTCATGGGCCAACTGTGTCATTTAAGTCTCATAACAACCTCAAGAGTGGGCATTGTATTTATCCACATGGTATAAAAGAGGAAGCTGAGACCCAGAGAGGTGGAATAACTAACTAATTCAAGGTCACACAATCAGTGAAGTGGTGAACTGGGACTTGAACCCTGCAAATCATGCCTTAAACTATTAGAAGATTGAAAGTTCATCATGGGTAAAATTTCAATCTGATTTAAATAACTGATCTGTGAATCAGACAATCATGCTCATCCCAGGGACCTCCTGGGAGTTTGGGCAGCTCTGAGCCTCCCCCCCAGCCCCTGGCTCCTGGGCTCCTTCCACTGTGGCCACAGCCCCAGAGGAAATTGAGGATGGGTGGGTGACATGGCCCTAATCCTCAGAAAAGACAGAAAACCTGAAGGTCCCACCTGGAGCACAGGGTGCTGCCCTCATCTGGTGACAGCTGTTTTTATCTATTCACAACCAGGGAGGTTTCCCTTGACAACGGTGGCAACTCAAGGGTTTGTGGGAAGAAAGGTGCCTACCATGGAACACACATCCCTGCTGCAGCCCTGCAGCCCCTCATTGTCACATGCCTGATGCCAGCTCCAAATGCTGGGTGCTCCTAGGATCTTCCTGAGTCAGGACGGGGACTTCCAGGACATACAAGAAGCTGTCGGGAGGGGTTCCATCCTGTCAGGCCCCACTCAGGGACCTGTCCTTCCTCCCTGGGGTCTCAGAAAGGCCCTTCTGGCTACATGAGTTAGCAGAACAAACTAGAACCCAGGGCAGGTCACCTCCTTCTCTGAGCCTTAAGGAGTCACTCAGCCTGGACCCCAGGTCTGTGAAGGGCAGGAGTCCCAGCTGAGGCAGCATCAGCCAGCCCCCCACCCCCAACCCCACCCCCCGCCCCAGGGTTTGCCACAGGATCTGGGAAGGCCTCGAGATCACTGTCCCCTGCAGCCCAAGAGGAACAGTGACTTCTGTCCTCAGACCAAAGGAAAGCTGAATACTATAGGGGGTAGGAAGGGGGGTGATTCTTAAGGACACAGAAAACCACTGACAAATGGGCCAGATCCCACCCAGCAGTATACCTGAGGGACAGGGGAACCTGGTGGCATCTGGACCAGGACCAGAGGCAGGCAGCCCTCCAGGACAGGACAGACACTGAGACCCACAGCAATACCTCTCTTCCTCCCTGCATAGATGACAAACTGGAGCAGCAGCACTCCCTGTTTACACGCTATAAGGACCCCTGCCGCCTGGGGCCTGGGGAGGAGAAGCCATGGGCAATTGGTGAGCTGGGGCTGGGAGCAGGGGATGTGGGGAGAGGGGAACTGGGGCAAGGGAGGGGTACTGCCAAGTTCTGAGCCCACCATGCTGAGATCTGACACTGCACCAAGGCTGGGCTTCCCACAGGCTTCCCAGAGGGACTCCAGGACTTGCTCCCAAAACCCTAGTGCTGTGGGAGTTGGGATACCCAGGATGGAAGATGCCTGAGCCCACCCCCTTCTGCCCCAAGGAGGCAGCCCTCCTCAAGGCTGGCTGAGTCCTACCTGCAGTAACTGCTCTCACCCCTTTGTCCCCAGGTACCATGCTGGACAAGGATGGCCTCAATGATGAGGATGTAAGCACCCCTGACAACCTACAAAAGTAAGCACCCAGCTGTGGTGGAGCAGGCAGTTTCCAATTCTGGGCTGAGCATCCAGCCCTGACTCAGCTGTGGAAAGATGACTATATTCCAGGTAGAGAGGAGAACACAAAGTCATGAAAAAGAAGTCTGTGAGAGCCTCAGAAACAGAATCTGGGGGCAGCTGGAGGCCGTGAAGGCCCTCTTGCCCCATGAGTTGGCCTTACAGAGAAGCCCCTAAGTAGGCCTGGGGTCCTAAGGTGGCATTTCCTAGCACCTGCCGTCCTGGCTCACTTTTCAAGAGCCTGCCTTGAACTGAACCCCAGTCTGCCTTGGGGCCCTGCTGGGCATAGGAAAAGAGACCAGAACCTTCTGGGGTGAGACTGATAGCTGCCAAAGAGCTCTGGGAATGGCATGTGCTCCAGGGAGGCCAGCAGGTGGTAGCCACCAATTAGGCAAATAAAGATACAAGCAAGCTGCCCTGGCCGGTTTGGCTCAGCGGTTAGAGCGTCGGCCTGCGGTCCTGAGAGACCCGGGTTCAGTTCCCGCTAGGGGCGCGTACCTCGGTTGCAGTTTGACCCCGGCCCTGGTCGGTTGTGCGGGTGGCAGCCACTCGATATGTTCCTTTCGCATCGATGTTTCTCTCTCTCTCTCTCTCTCTGTTCCTCTCCCCCCCCACTCTACCTGAACAACAACAACAAAAAAAAATACAAGCAAGCTAACATAAGCCAGTCATTTTCAAAGAGACAGCTCCATTCCAACCAAACTTAATTCTTGAACCCAATGACACTTCCATAAAGAACACGTTTGAGAAGCTAGCAGCAGAACCAATTTATAATTCACAGCCTGAGACTGCACAAAGTCACGGTAATGGCTCCTTGCAGCTAATTTGAGCCAATTAATTAGATTACAGACTAAATTTGAAACATTATCCTATGCTGAGAAAATTACCTTTCTATGAGATGATTAAAAAATGACTATCAATAACTCTCAGATCACTGTTGCTGGAATTAGTTATCAAATGCAAAGGACAGTAATGGGTTATATTCTGAGATGTACCGATGTTCTGCATTCATTAGTGTATTTATCTCACGGCTGATAAAGACCTTGTAGAAACCCATGTTTGCTGGCTGGGCCTGTCTTGGCACCCTTCCACCTGTCCAGGGCCTGTCAGTGGCTGCCACTCTGCCCCCGACATCAGCGCGCACCTGCCCTCTGCGGCAGTCTCCCATGAAGGCTCCTCCCCGCTGGTGCTCAGACTACACAGGAAGCCTGGCAGGAAGGGGATGGCAAAGAGGGAGTCAGAAGACCCAGGTTCGGGGTATAACCCCACCTGAGCACTCTGGCCTCCCTGTGGAGCCTTGGGTAGCACTTAAGCACCCATGTCAGTTTCCTTACTCTGAGGAATAGGATGACAGTCACATCCCATTACTCCTTTCTTGACATACCTGGTCCCCACAGCAATCATTCTTGCACCAGAGGAGGAAGTGGAAGCTCAGGGGTTTGGCACAGCTGCTCAGGGACAGACTGATACTGGAGTCCAGTCCTGAGCATGGGTGCTCTTCTAGCTCTTCACCCCACTCCTACTGACCTGAAACAAGAGTCATGAGGTTCTGGGGACCTCCAGAGACAGTCTCCCATGAAGGCTCCCTGAGATTCACTGTCAAGACAAAGTTCCCCCAAACAGGGCCTTACTGATTCAGAGCGGGACCCTGTTCTGCAGAGAGCACAGACAGTTCTGTCCCCGACTCAGGCGGTCTCTGGGTAGCACAGAGTCCAAGCTGCAGCCACAGCCCAAGTCCCAGTTCAGAAAGAAAAAGAAACTGCTGGCCAGCCCAAGGTGGACATGGGACATTCCAGGGTAGTTTGAGGAATGGCCTAATTCAGTCAGGAATTTGCAGCCTCAGACTCAGTTTCCCTCCATCCCAGTCCCTTTTGGGGCCCAAAAAGAAGACAGATGTTAAATGCAGGTGTTTGGTCTGACCTGCTTCTCTTGGGGTTGAGAACCTGGCACCACACTCAAGACCTGGGACCTGAGACCTGGGGACTGGGGGCTGGAGCAAGGGCTCACCTTACCTTCCTATCTGTGTGAGCAGGGTCTTGGAGAGTGAAGAGGGGCGCCGGGAGTATCTCGCCTTCCCCACCAGCAAGAGCCCAGGGGCCTGCCAGAAGGGACGCAAGGATGTGCTGAAGGGCAACGGCAGGCGCATCGACTACATGCTGTATGCAGAGGAGGGGCTGTGCCCCGACTGGAAGGCCGTGAGTCTGAGGCCAGGCAGCCAGGCCATGCCTGTAGATAGGGGACCCTAAGCCCTGCATCCCTAAATAGCACTGAGCTCTCTGAAAGTGAAACCTGCCAGTTTCAGAGACCTCTGGGGCCTTCGGGGATCCTCTCACCCCTCTGCCCTCAGGAAGATCAGCCAGCTCCAGCCCAGAGGCCCCACCCCTACCCCCCAGGCCCTTCCTCTGCATGGTATCCTTTGGGTCTAATCAGGATGCTTCTCTTCCCCCAACCCCAGGAGGTGGAAGAATTCAGTTTTATCACCCAGCTATCCAGCCTGACTGACCATCTCCCGGTGGCCATGCGGTTGATGGTGTCTACAGGGGAGGAAGAGGCATAGACCACCCAAGTCGTCACAGCAGCCTGGCCTCTGCTAGCCCTTTGAGCCAAAGCCCCTCTCTGGCCATGTCCCCTCCAGCAGCAGTGCCTGAGAGAGGGCAGGGGCCTGGGGGAGCCGAGGTCATCCTTGGGTGAGCTGGAACCAGTGCTGCCCTGCACCTCTGGGCACTCACTGTGGACAGAGGAGTCAGGACAGCCCAAGGAACCCCAGCTGCCCAACCAGTGCCATTCTTTCAAAATGAGATTTTCTACAAATCTACAGCACAACCTAGTTTATAACCCATGGGTTAGTATGAGAACCGGGTTTCTGTACTCTTTGTCCAGGGTTCATTTTTTCTGTCTGCTGCCATGTTGTCTCGCATGCCTGTACCCTCACATGCACGCTGCCCGCATGCCACGTCCACATCATAGCCACACAGACCCCTTGCTCAGGCCTCACCCAAGGCCAAACTGCAAACACAATTAGAACCAGCCAAAGAAGCATTCCTGGGCACAGGGCCGCCAGCTCGCTGCCTCCAGTTGGGTCAGCTAATGAGCAGGAACCATGAGGGCTGTATCCAGTCACCACGAGCCAGGGCTCTTCCCAGGGTCTTGCATTCAAGGGCGATTACATTTTCAAAAGAAAAACAGGAAAAGTTAAGAACAGAAACAACCCTTCACTTTAGAGGGCCTGCAAACCTTGAGGGAGATTGCTGCTCTTCCTGAGACAGGCTCCCTTGTCGGGGTACCAAGGCCCCAGAGACTCCTAAGTGAGCCACAGACAGGAAGCAGAGGAGAGAGCACCACTTTTTACAGAAGAAAACTCACGGATAAAAGAGAAAGGGGGCTGCTGGTTTTGAAAATGATAGATTTGTAGCTTCTGTTCTGCCAAAACCAACACCTCTTTCTGCTTGATCCCATCTCCCCTCCAGACACCTTTCTGGTTTGGGACCAATCCTTCCCTGGGGACTGTCCCCATCCACGTGCTGGTTGAGCTCAGGAACTGTCTGCCTGCCTCTTGGTCAAGCTGCAGCTCTATCCTCCAGACCCACTCTCAAAAGCAACCCCAGGGCCCTGAAAGGGGCCCTAGATGAAGGGGTGGGAAGCCAAAGTGCAGAGAGTGGCCTGTCTCCCCACCCTCCCAAGTGTGCAGGCTGGGGGTGGCAAGGTCAGGGGCCACTGCTTGCACATGGCAGGGAGTGGTACTGGTTGGCATCCAGACATCCAGGCATGGCATGGCTGAGTCTATAGGTGAGGCCTGCAGCTCACCACCCCATGGCAGCACTGCCTCTGCCCACCTGCCTTTTTAAACACATCTGGGGATGCTTCCTACAGTCATGCATGGAAGGTTGTGTCTAATTCCAGGTGCAAGGCTTCCCTAATTCAGGAGGCTGTCCTTGACAACCCCCACTGGGCCCTCCTGGCTTGAAGCCAGCTTTGCCCAGCAAGGCTGGGGAGCATACTAGGACCCTTCTGGTGTCAGTGTGCTGACGCTGTGCCTTGTCACCCACTGAGCTGCAAGAGGGACCAAGAGGGGTTCAAGCAGCCAGCCAGAAGTCAGGTCCTGTGCTGGGAGGTGACACTCCTGAGAGCCATACCCACAGTGGCACTGGTCTATCTGAACCCACCTGGCTGGGGCAGCAGCAGAGCTGAGGGCTTGAACACTTCCCCAGCCCTGCCCCTGGGGGTCCAGAGCCAGAATAGGCTATTCACCACTGAGGGCAGTCCCACCTGGGCTCTCTGTTATGACCCTCTTCCAAGGGCCTGGCATTCAGGGTCTTAGCCAGGCTTCATGGGGTCGGAGAGCTCCCCACTCCCAGAACAGCCAGGAAACTGCTCACACAGGCAGGGCCTTACTGGCAGGCACGATGCCTAGATGGCAGGACCTGAGCCTAGGACCCCAGGCTGCAGGTCAGCTGTGTGCCCAGGAGAGCAGTGGAGACAGGCCAGGGCTTCTGAAACAGAGAAACTCCACACAGCTTCCAGCCCTCCGAAGAGCTGCTTCCCTCCCAGGGTAGCCGGGTGGAAGCCAAGGCACAAGGACATGTGCTTCTCTCCCTTCTCAAAGGGTGGCCTTAGGCAAGTCATACCTCCCTGTGCCTCCGTCACATCCTGTCCCAACAAGGTTGACTGTGCCCTGGTGTATGGCCTACCAGCTCCCTAGCATCTCCCTCTGACTCAGCCTCAGTACCGAAGGCCGCCACTGCCCGACCACATGTTTCACGAAGCCTGTGAACTCCCGGGGCAGTGCACAAACCAGGCTTTTCCATTTTAATTTTTAAAAAGGAAAGAAAAGAAACATTGCCAGGATCTCAAACTCTATGGTGTTTGGCCTGGGAGGGACAGACACAGGGGTAACCCAAATCCCCAACCAAGGTCCCACACCAACCCTGGGCCCAACCTCCTTCAGAGAAGCCAGGAGGCAGGGGCAGCTTAGAAAGGAAATGGTCATTTTCATTAGTCCAAATCACCTTAAGTTTTAAGTATGAATATTAATCTTGATGCTTTTTAACTATTGTATTAACTTGCTGAGATTTAGAAATACTGTTTAAAAAAAGAAAAAAAAACTTTTTTAATTTCTGTATTTTTTTCTGTATTGTATCTTCATGGGACATTAGGGGTTTTATATGGTAAGCACACCTAAAGTTTTGGTAAAAACATTATCAATATATATCTAGACGATTCTTCCCTAGAAGAAAAACAATCTTTCACCTGATAAAATATTTTGAAAAGAGAGGTGTTTTTCTCCTTTACTGGTGCTGAAAGGAAGGATGGATCACGAGGAGAAAATAAAACTGTGAGGCTCAAGGCTGGTGTTTTCCACTTATTTGAGTGACAAGCTGGGGGCAGGCCCTGCTCTGATTCCAAGCTGGGCAGCCAGGCAGAGCAGTAGGGGAACTACTGGAAGAGGGGCCTGCCTTTCCCGCCTGCCCCCAGAACAGGCAAAGCCCAAGTCTGCCCTGAGCTGCCTGAAAACTGGGCCACCTAAGTTTTCTTACTCAATATCCCCTCATTCCCTCTAGAACTGGCAGTAAACAGCAAAAGGTTATTTTGAGGGGGGCAGTGGGAGAAACAGCATACTCATCTGCCCCAAAGTTCTGAGGTGGTGGGAGGTCCTTCTGCAAGAAGTGGGGCACACGGGAAAGGTGTCTTCCTGGCTTCCTCCTGGTGGCTGGTTTCCTGAATCTGCGTCAGGAACTGCTTTGAAATGGTCTCCAGCAGCCTGGTGTCCACTGTCAGGTCTTGGTCACCTGCTGGTGCTGCACACTGAGGCCAGATCCTTAGAATGTGGCTCAGTGACATTACCCATCAAGTGAAAGGGCCAGAACCCAGTCCTTAGCCCAGCCCTGCTAAGGGCTTTAAGGCCCAAGGCCCAACTACAAGTCAGAGTCCCTGCCCCTAGAAGCCCCTCTTAGCTAGAGACAGGCAGAAATTCCCAGTGCACAGGATAAGCTGGCAACTACCATGGCTAGCCCAGCCACCTCAGCACCATGAGGCCCAGAGAAGTGATTAGAGCTATCTAAGCACATCAGAACCACTGCAGGGAGGCCTCTCTGGCCCCTCCTCGGTTTCAAATACAGCCAGCAGCCCGTGCTGCCTGCCACAAATGGAGTGAGGAGTGAGCGGAGCAAAAATACATAAAGGGAAGAGATCTGAACACTGAGAGATCAAGCTGGGTCCTGAAAGGAGAGGCACTTTCACCTTCCTTCCCAGAAAGCCACTCCATTTAGAGCCCAGAGCCTCTCAGGCCACTTTATTTCTTAACAAGTGAGGGTCAGCACCCATCACCCAGGGTATTTAAGAGTGAAATCCATGGTGATGTCTCCAGTGTGGGGCTGGAACTCCACAGCGTAGCTGACTGACTGCGGGCCTCCTGGAGGTGCTCTGGGGTCCAGTATGGTGCTGAAGAAGTACACAGCCTGCTTGCAGTGCGGGTTCCAGCAACAGTCCTCCTGAAGGAGGAGAATCAGAAGGTGGTGAGAGCTGCCAGCAGCTAAGCCCTCTTCTGGCCAGCCTCCCTTGAAAGCAGCTCAAAAATGGGAAGCTGCTGCTCAGAGCCAGGTACCCAGGGCCCCTGAGGGGTTTTTATCTGGCTAAATGTGTCCCATGAATACCCAGAGCACACTGAGGGTGCAGCCTCCCCTAAGAACAGCACCTACTCTCAGGGTCAGCCAGCTCTGGGGCCCATGTGCACAGCTCTACCTTGTCCTCTGCAGACTTCAGGAGGCCAGTGCTGATCGTGCTGTCTGGGGTCAGGTGGTATTCCATCCACAGGACAGCCCCGTGGCTCCTCCCAGGCCTGTGAGAGGTGGGATGTTGGGTCAAACAGAAACAGCACCACAAGAGATGGGTGAACATGGCTCCCCTCTGCTTTCCAGAAAACTGTCTTCCCCACTTCCACCCTGCCTAGTCAGGAGGCTCCTAACACTCAACCTGATTAAAGGCCACTCAGTAAAATGCCGAACAAGAAGAGCTACAACCCAAAGTTCCCACTCACTCCTCAAAGCCTGGCCAAGTACTCAAAATAACTATGGCAAAGGGCCAGGTTGGCGACAGGACCAGCCTCCTCAGAAAGGCTTGGTCCAGAAGACTCAGAGCACAGCCTTAGCACCAAATGCTGAAGACCCCTCCCTGATACCCTGGATGGCAAGCCCAGGTGGGTATCTGCCCTGCCTCCCTTTGTCAGAGGAGCCCCAAAGGGATATGGGCTCAGAGCCTCCACACAGTTAGAAGGGCTCTTCTTCTGGGAAGCAGCAGCTTCTCTTCATGAAGGAAGCTGGAGCTGGGTAGGCCAAACCATGCCTCACAACGAGCGTCCTCACCAATTCCTAACTTGCTTTAATTCCCAGGAGAAAAATGGTCCAATGGATAACCACAGCAACTAAATTCACATTTCTCTGCAGCTGTGATCCAACATGCTATTTAGTTCAAAGAGAGCCTGAGATGTGAAGGGAAGAGCAAAGCCTACTCTGGTTCTGCCTCCTACCCACACATACGCAGAGGCTGTGGGGACCCTCTATATACTCAGGGCCACTTTAGACCAAGAAGGGCGAGGCTGAGACAAGCAAGGCCATCATACCCATGGGAAAGTGGCCAACATAGGTGGTTAGCCACATGGGCAGTAACTACTAGACAGAAAGCAGGCGTCCTCTATTTCCTTCCCTCAAGACCCCTACCCAGGAGCCAACACTCACCTCTTCAGATCGATGGCGCCCTCAGCACGGACAGACTGTGGGGGTACTGGCTGCCGAAAATCAAAGGTCAGGATCTGCTGGGGCTCAGAGAGGCTGCGGCATGGGTATTCCCACAGCGGGTGGGGTTCAGCCTCCTTGCTCTCCCTAAAGTCCAGGGCATGCTGAGAAGAGAGGGAGATGCAGGGCTCTGCAGAGATAGGGCCAGGATGCCCAGGGGACAAGGGGCTTATGTCCCCGTCTCCAGGGTCTATGCCAGTGGCTCCTCATCTCCATGCATTAGGTCCCTCAGGGTAACTGCCAGTAACATGGGGCAGTGGGTCCTCACAGACCACTGGCTTCTCTGTTCCCTGCTGCCATTCATGAGCCATCCCCGTAAGTCACTTCACCTCTCTAAGCCTCACTTTCTCCCTTATTTTTTAAAAATGTGTTTTTATTGATTTTTTTAGAGAGAGAAGAAGGGAGAGAGATAGAAATCATTGAGAGAGGACATCATCAATCGGTTGCCTCCTGCACGCCACCTACTGGGGATAAACCCACAACTCAGGCATGTGCTCTGACAGGGAATTGAATTGGGACCTCTCAGTCCACGGGATGACACTCAATCCACTGAATCACACCAGCTGGGCATACTTTCTCCCTTTTTATTTATTTATTTTTTCCTTTTTAAAATTGGTTTTAGAGAGAGAGGAAGAGAGAGACAGAAACATTGATGAGAGAGATCATTGATGGGCCGCCTCCTGCATGCCCCGCACTGGGGATTCATCCCACACCCTGGGCATGTGCCCTGACCAGGAATCAAACTGGCGACCTCCTGGTGCATGGGTTGATGCTCAACCACTGAGCCACACTAGCCCGGCACTTTCTCCTTTATTAAAATGGGATGACACTGCCCATCTCATGGGCTACTTTGAGGACCAAATGTCTATACTGATGACAACACCTGGTGCTTGGACACTCATCCACTCAGTGGCCCTTACTGAGCACTACAGCTGACAGATCACCCCAGAGTAGAGACAATGAGGAGACAACCACAGTGCCTGAGGAACATTGACCTCATGCAGAAACAGGGGTGGGCTAGGAAGCTGCCTGGAGGGATGACCTCTGGGCTGCCTCCTAAGATCACACAGGAGTTGGCTGCAAGGAGAGTAGACAAAATTGAGCAGGGAGAGGATCCAGCAGCAGGAGTCAGTGATTCTGCAAGGGGAGGTGTGCAGGGAGCCTCAGAGGGTTTTCCTACAGGGGTTGGACAGGGCCAGACTCAGAAGCTACAGGTTTTTCTTGAGCTCTGTGTAGGGGGGCATTGAAGAGGAGAGGCAGGAGGCTACATGGTCACAGGCGTGAGAAGTGGTCCAGACCAGAGCAGCAGCAGCAGGGAAAGAAAACTGGATTTGATGGTTAAGAAACCTGATGACCAACTGCAAATGAAGGTGAGGACTTTCCCAGGAAGATGCCCAGGCCCAGGTATGAAGTAGTGGCAGGCCTAGGATGGGAGCCCTGAAGAAGCTAGGCTGGGGGTGGGGAAAGAGCACGTGGATTTTGGAAGCATCAAGGTCTGAGTGTCTGAGGACATCTCAGTGGGGAGTCCACCACTCTTAGATATTTGGTCTGAGCTCAGGACAAATGCAAACATTAGCCAACAACAGAGATGGGACAGGGGACAGTAAAGTAAGGACAGGGGCCTGAGGGAGACCTAGAACACAAGCCACCTTAGGGGGTGGAAAAAATGGGAGAGGCCAAGACGGTGCTTAAGGAGTAGCCAGAGGGAATTAAAGTGTGTGGTGATGCAGCACAAAGGAGATTTCTAGAAGCACAGAACAATCAGTGGTTACCTGTGGAAGGGCAGGTAAGATGCAAACTGAAAATATCCGTTGGATTTATTTACTTAAAAAAAAAAAAGTTTACATGAGCGATCCACAATCACTGTAGAAAAATGTGAACATGGCCCTAGCTGGGTGGCTCAGTTGTTTGGAGCATCATCCCATACACCAAAAGGTTGTGGATTCAATTCCCAGTTAGGGCACATACCTAGGTTGCAGGTCTGACCCCTGGTCAAGGCACGTATAAGAGGCAACCGATTGACGTTTCTCCCCCCCCCCCCCAACTACCTCTCTTTCTAAAAATCAATAAAAAGCATATCCTTGCTCTGGCCGGTTTGGCTCTGCAGTTAGAGCGTCGGCCTGTGGTCCAGGGAGACCTCGGTTCGGTTCCCGCTAAGGGCATGTACCTCGGTGGCAGTTTGTCCCCGGCCCTGGTTGGAGTCGTGTGGGTGGCAACCAGTCAATGTGTCCCTCTCACGTTGATGTTTCTCTCTCTCTCTTCCTCCCTCTCTCCTTCTTACTCTATCTGAAGATAAATGCAAAAATGTCCTCGGGTGAGGGGAAAAAAAATATGTGAACACAAAGATAAGAAAAAGAACAAAAAAATTAATCACTTCCAAATCGCACAACATTCTGCTATCTACTATTCCACCCTTTTCCGTGTGTGTGTGTGTGTGTGTGTGTGTGAATTTCCTTACTGCATAAGATGAGACAGCATTCCTTGCCCAGCCCTCTCACATGGACAAGTCTTGACTCTTTACTTCAGTCCTTGCAGATCCAATGGCACTTTATGAATTCCCTGGATTCTGGGGGATGCAGACACTGGGAGCTGACTCAGTCCCCAAATGATGTACAAATAGCCCTGCAGGACCCTCCTTCCACAGCTCTTCCCATGCTCTAGCACCTCCC